TTTTTTTTTTTGTATCCTTTGGGTAAATACCTAGTAGAGGAATTGCTGGATCATTATAAGCAGTTTTGGACCAGAAGTAGAAAATACATTTTTGCCATTCTAATATGCTAATAGTAAACTTTTTGTCTATTTTGGAATTTCTTCTGTAGCATTTAGGATACTATAGTTTGTCTATGATATTTATTTGTTCTTTTGGTATTGATAAAATTTTATTTTTCTGATGGCAGAAGAGATTGTGGTTTATGAATTGTGATTATCAAGACTTTGTTGAATTCTTATGTTGATGGTAGAGGCAATCCTAGAATGGGTGTACTATGATTCCAAAGTTGTGTTTTCTTTAACATTGGATAACCTTATTCTCCTATACTCAGATTATTTCTATAATTTAAGCTTTACATCTTGAAAACTATCTTGTCAGATGGAAAAGCCAATCATATTAATTCATTGAAAGAATTATATGGAAAATTTTATCTTTGGCATTACCCTTATCAAAACTTTCTTATAAAAAAATTCCCATCAGAGTCCACCCATATATATGTTAGTATCCACGACAAATTAAAATACTAGTGTTTTCTGCATGTTTTAAACTTTATTAAATTTGATCAAATAATTTATCAAATAGTGTATCATATGTATCATTCTGTGACTTAGTGATTTTTGGCTAAAATTAGTTTCCAGTTTTGTCTGTGTTGATTGTAGCTAATTTATTTTAATTGCTGTATGATCGGCACATGCCACAGTTTATAAATCTGTAGAGGGATCCTGTTGAAAAATTTTGTTTGCTATTTCTAGTGTTCTGCTATTGCAAACAATTGTGTATATGCTCTAGAGTTTATCTAGGCCAGTATTGTCCAAGCTAGAAGCTGTTACTTTTTAGTGATCATGAAATTATTTTAGTGAGTTGAGACCAGCATCTTCTTTTAAAACAAGAAATAGGAAAGGATAAAATAGGACAGAGTAAGGGGCAATAGAATAGAGTAAAACAGAAAAAATAGAAAAAAAGATGTCCTTAAGCCCATCATATAATAAGGGTAAGAATTATTTTGTGGAACTCTTGTTTTAGGTAAATATATGTATCAACAAAAACCACACAAAAGGTCAAAGGACACTGCTCTGGCTTAAATATTGTGGAGTTGTTCTCTAAAGTGATTATACTAGTTTTCATTTCTTACAGCATTATGAGTGTGCTTTTTGATCTGTATCCTCACCAACACTAGGTATTGTCCCCTTTTAATTTGGCAGATGGGTGAGATCTGTTTCATTGTGATTACATTTCCATAGTGAAATTGAGCATCTTTTAATATGTCTATTAATTGTTTCTGTCAATTGTCTTGTCTTTTGCTCATTTCTAAATTGGATTGTTTGTTTCTTACTGATTTTCAGGTATTCTTTATTCTGGGTACAAATCCTTTGCAAGCCACCAGTTATATATGTTGAAAATATCTTCTCCCATTCTGTGGCATGTGTTTTCCTTTGTTCATTTTGTCTTTTAGTATGCCGTATTTTTTTAAGTTTTAATGTAGTAAACTTTACCAGTCTTTGTGGTTAATGCTTCTTGTCTTATTTAAGAAATCTTTCCCTGCCCCAGGGTCACAAAAATGTTTTCTATACCTTCTTCTAAAAGTTTGAAAGTTTTGCTTTTTTTTATACTAAATGGGTTCCCTTGCATTTTCTATGTTGACATATTTCATATTAAACTGGTTTAAGAGTTTTTTAAAATATGTTTTGCATTCAAATTGGTGAACCATGGTCCCAAAACTTACAAAGTACAATATCTAAAAGTTATATTTTACAATATTAATTTTTAATAACTTTTTAATAACAGAGCTAATACAATTTTTAAACTGTTTACTTCTCAAATAAATAATAGCTTGTTGAAGTTGCAAGATGGTATATTCTTTTCCTTCTCTGTTTTTCTCTCATAGAATTTATGTATTTATGTTTTTCAGTCACATTAACTTTATCCTAGAAGACAACTTTACAAGGATCTAGACAGAACAGGATTTAAGGATGACTGAATATTGGGCTAAAGAAATTTAAAACAATCAGGTACAGGGGCGCCTGGGTGGCTTAGTCGGTTAAGCGTCCGACTTTTGCTTGGGTCATGATCTCGCGGTTCGTGGGTTCGAGCCCAGCGTCGGGCTCTGTGCTGACTGCCAGCTCAGAGCCTGGAGCCTGTTTCAGAGTCTGTGACTCCCTCTCTCTCTGACCCTCCCCTGCTCACGCTGTCTCTCTCTCTCTCTCTCCTAGAAATAAATAAAACTTAAAAAAAAATAATAATAAATAAAACAATCAGGTACAAAAATTTTGGGGGGGAAAAATTCCCAACTAGTCAGTACATAGTAAAATTGGGAATGTACATAGGAAGACTTAAAATATCCCTGAAATACAGGAGAGGGTCCAAGAGAGGAGTTTTGAAATCTGTCTTGTGTTCAAATATTGGCTCTAACCCTGACTGGTTGGTGACGGTTGGTCATTTTGGAAACATGTCCATAAAATGGAGACAATGATGTGTCTGTTTCTTTTGGCTATTATAAAGTTTAATGAGATAATATAAGGCATTTAATATGGCACAGGGTTACTGTTTATTTCAATGATTATTATTGTTGATACTGTTATTTATAATTCCTGGATATGGTATTCTGTATATTGTGGATTTTTAAGATGTATATATTGATATACTGCTGTAACATTGAGAGTAATAATAACCTGGTGAAATCATGTAGAAAATAGGCTAAGATAACTATAATCCTCACATATATTCCATAAACTATATTCCTCAAGTGGTGCAAATGGGAGAAGATAGTTTTCTTTATTATGTTTGTATCACATTGAAATAATGTTAGAAAAAAATCCAACTACTTTCCACAATGCTAGAGAATTCAACAATTTTTTTCACAGTACCGTACAATAGTACTTATTCTTGAATCATTTTTAAATCTTCAAGAACATTCTGATCAGTAAAGATGAAATTATGTTAATCTTATGGTTAATGTTAATTGACTCTTACAAATGTTATTTCTTTGACTATAGTAATTTGAATATACCACTCATGCAATTTTTTCTTAACTTGAATGTCAAATAAACAGAATGGGCTGTGTCCCACCATTCTAATTTTTAAAGAGGTACTATAATTGAAATCGATCAAAGACACCAAAAAGAACTATATATTTTCCTCCTTAAAAAGCCAGGATACTCAGTTGATTAAACAAACAAAACAAAACAAAACAAAACAAAAAAACTGATATGGAGTGAGTTCCAGGATATATTGTTAATTGAATAAAAAAAAGCAAATTGCCAAAGAGTATATGAAATACGGTATTTTTTGTGTAAGGAGGAACTGGGAAATAAAAGCACAGACATGTATTTGCTTAATTTTGCAAAACGAAACAGGAAGAATAAACCAGAAACTGATGAAATTGGTTACTTACAATAGTAGACGGAGGGCTAGGGTGGGAAACAACAACAAACCAGGATTTAGGATCTTAGCGTGTTGCAAAGATTTCCCTTCTGCTACCACGAAGGTAGCCTATAATACAATAAGAGGCAGCTACATCTCTTCTTTTGTCCCTTTTTCTCCTCTTATTCCTTTCCTCTTTTCTCTTGCCTTTGACTTCTGTTCTTTTTTCTCTTCTCTTCCTCTTTCTTTTTCCCCTCTCCTCTCTTTTTGTTTTTTATTGTAAGAAACTTGGGGCAAAATGTAGATCCAGTTAGGATAAAGCAAAACAAAGAATCGTCGATACAGGCAGTCTCCCATATACAAAAAGCTGTATTCAAAGGATGCTTTCAACTAATATATGGTATTGTGGTCTAGTGTGAACCATGTCCTGCGGTGCTTATAGCAATGAACGAGTCAGGGTTGTCTCTTACAAAGCTTGCAAATTAATAGAGAAGGACAGATCAAGTAGAAATAACTGTCACATGAAATTATCTTCCCATATTGGCAACTAGATCAAGTTTTATAAACTTATAAGTGAGAAAAGACTAAGTGATTTTTTTAAAAAAACAAGCATATATTTTCCAAACATTAGAAACAATGATTTGTATCAATTGTCATAGTTTGAGTTACAATTATTCTGAATATGTTATTATTCCTTATATTCTGAGACACCTTTTTACACCAGATGAGAACAAAATTTTACCAGCATTCTCTATTAGAAGGCTCTCACTGCTTATAAATAATATCAGGTGAAATGTTCTGTTATAAAGCTCTGTCTATTATAAGGCTCTAACTGCTTATAAATAATATCAGATAAAATGTTCTGATGTTAATCCCCTTGAAATGTGGATTGTATTTGTTTGAGTAAATAGAACCCAAACTAATAAATTGGAAATGCCAGCATTATTATGATTTCATTCAATTGCTTTGGCAGGGGAGAGAGAATATTTCTTTATTTTTAGTGATGGGATAGTTAACTGTGTAATGATTGAACCACAGTCCAGACATACTGTACATCTTATGTTAGAGAAGCTTCTGCTGTTACTTCCATGTGGTAGCAAGTAGTTACTGCAGAGATGGTTAATTAAGGCAAGAACATTGAGTGCTGTTGCTACTTACTTGGTGACTACTGTTGCAGATTTTTTGTTAAAGTCTAGGGTAACAAAGCCATATCTGTTCATTCATCCTCTTATTTTTTTCATTCATTCCTCCTTTTTTCTTTTTTTTTTTTTTTCCAGCTTAGCAAATCATATACTCTTCAGTGGAGCTGAGAACGATAAGTCTGCTCTTCACAGTGATTTGGAACTTTCCAATCCCAGGGAAAATTTGACCAAGGTCTAAAATTTATTTTTCCTTATCTAGAGGAGGTCAACTGTAAAATGAAAATTTTCTACTTATTTCCTTATAGATTTAAGAATCTTCATTTATCCTGGGATTAATTTTCCAGGCCTGAGCAGGAGGATTCCATAAGAGACCATATGATAGTTCCAGAACAGTTAAAACACCTTTTGGGTTTTATAGCTGTTAACTCTCATGCCTAAACCTTAATTTCCTTATCTTCCCTTTACCATATTTGAGCTTAGCTTATTTTCTCTGTTAATTGGAAGTAAAATATTTTAACTTGTCTACTTTCATTTCACATATAGGATCCTGATTTTACCACATACTTTTTCCTTAGGGACTGCACAGGACTGAGTCCATATGGAAGAAGAGCTTTCCCTTTCCTATGGAGAAAGTGGCAAGGTTAGGAAAAAAAAAAAAAAAAGCAAAACAGGCCTTTGGAACATATATTTTCTATTGCATGAAACCTATATCAAACATCTAATGGTCATCCAGTTGGAAGATCAGTGAGATAGTATTTGTCTTTGAGGGGCTCACAGTGTAGTGACTCAGATGCAAACATAATTGCTGTGGATACATAGAATGCCAAAGGAGTTGGTGGAAAACTGGGGGTATTGTCTGAGGGGTAGATCAGGGTTCCTGAAGATGGGCACCTTTTGAGCTAGGTGAGGAGTACAGTCCGTCCCTGCTTTCACAGATAATACCGCCCTGCAAAAGGATCTGAGTTAAGCAGTGTTTGCTCCATTCCATAGATTTCAGAAAACTATAAAATACCTAATCTTAGATGACATATTCTTAATTCATCATAGATATTCTTTAACTTATTTATTTTCCACCACAGCTCAACATTACAGTCAACCAGCTTAAGTCTAGTCCGTGTCCAACTGATGTCAGAAGTTTCACACCCTTCAGCATGCACATCGTTTTCCATCTTGTGTTAATTTTATTAAATTGACATAATGTCTGTTCTTCATTAGTAACACCTTTATATTAACTGCCACTTTTAACTTTTATTTTTGTTTTCTGCTCTTTTAAAATAAATATGGCCAAAACAATAAAAGATGTAAATAATTATACAAAGACAGCATAGTGTACAAAGATGGTGAAACTTCTGAAACTGAACCATAGAATTACCATGGAAATGTAGGAAAAGACAAAAGTAGCTTACAAAGGTAATGTATAGAACTTGAGAATCTAATAAAATGCTAATAGAAAAATTCCTAGTTTTTCGTGGGAGCACAGATTTTGTGAAATAAAAGAACAGACTCACAGAATTAGCAATGAAACAACTATTACATATAAAGTGTTACATTGTCTGAAAGTCCTCAAAAGGCAAGATGTTGATGGGTTTTTTAAAATAACTTTTTTGTTAGGCACGCCCAATGCATATTTTGGTCCCATTGCTATATGCTGTATTTTAAATTTAATTGTGACAATTTAGTAATTGTGTGGAGTCAGGTGAAGTTTCATAATCTGCTTGATTCTTCATATTGTTAGAGAAGCAGAGTTACCTAGGTAGCAAATACTCAAAAGAATAATAAAATGCTTCTTGGTCTCTAATTTTATGGAACTTGTTTCCTTAATTATATTTTCTTTGAGCTAATGTTAAAATTTCGCTACTTCGTATTTCCCAAATAGATGCCAGTGAAAGATGAGGGGGTTGGGAGTGCATGTGAGCAGAGTAGTAAAGGAAATCTGGACAGGAAATAGTTATCACCCATAATAATGTTATGTGCAGGAAGGAAGGTTAACTGGGCCAAATTAGGACTGAATTCTAGGGGCACGTCTAGATGACTTATCTTGTCTGCTGCTAAGCTCTCATTCCCTGGCAGTGTCTTTTCCCCATTCAGATTTGTTTGTTGCCTGCCTTGGTTCTTGCTCAACCAGTTTCTTATTTAGCAGGTGGGCACAGAGTGGCTGGGTGCCTTTTGTAGAGATGGCTGCTGTCATGCAGGGTGGCTGCAGCTCCTACAAGGGACTGTATGTGAACCCTGTGCTACCCACTCTTATTATATATACAAAGTATACGTATACAGACAATATATGTACATGTTTACAATACATACAATTTGTACAGCTATATATACTCATGAGTGTGTTGGAAAGAAAAATGTATTTTTCTTCTATAAACAAAGATGTTACAGTTCCTTAAGACTGATATTAAATATTTACCTCAAAAAGTGTAAATGTATGCATTTCATAAAGTTAGTCATCAGTTCCCCCATGAAATAACTCCCCCTCAAAACTTAGAAAAAATGGATTTTTGATGACTAACCTCCAGGAGCCAGTCTGACAGATATTTAAAAGCAATGAATTCACACCTCCTTTGTACCCAGATTATATTGTAAGTATTTGTTTTCTATTAAATTGTGAGCTCCTTGAAGGGAGTGATTATGTTTCATTTTTATGTCTTTAGATCCTGGCACTCAATACATGTTCAGTGATACTGTCAGACCTGATGTTCTGTTGACCTGTGTCATCCTTTAACAAATGAATGACTGCAGGTCACATACACACGAGTCCCAGTGGTTAGTAGAGTCATGGGGTGGCTACTAGAGGTTTTGTACAGGTGGGCCAGGAAGAAAGTCTAGAACTAATAATTTGTAGACAAGTGTTTAGTAGCTTGTTGGATTTACAACCTGATTCTAGTCATCCAAGAAACCACTTGATTTTTGTAGCAGGGCAGGCTGAAATCCAAAAATCTGCTTGAAAGGAAAAAATGAGGCGGGAATACTCATTTTCTCATTGTATATTGCCCTCTGCCCTGTTTACAGGAGGTATCCCATAGTGTGGATTACTGCCCTGTACAGTAAGAGCTTTATGAGAACAGCCAGAGCCCTGTGATCTCAAGCACTGGGTCTACCAGTGGTATACCTGTATGTGAACTGTTTTCTCTGCAACATGTGCTGTATGGAAAGCAATCTTTAGAAGTGAGTAATCTTGGAGGATTACTTAGTCCTTCTGTGCCTCAGTTTCCTTGCAATTAAAATGAGGATAGCAATATCTATGCCCTACAATTATGATGTTTAGGAATAATATATAAGAATTCTTTTAACTAGCACATTAGTTCATCTATAAATATCTGATGCCACATTCAAAATGTTATTCTTTCTGAAATTTATAGACTTAAATAGGAAAAAATAAATAAAATGAAGACCCCATAGAAAATAAGATTCCTTCATGATATAAGGAGGTAGGTGATTTACAGTAGAAGCTTAGAGTAAAAACTAACCTAGCAGGATTCTGTCCTTAGCTCTGTAGTGGCCTTGAGTGCTGCCCAGAATATAATAGAAGATATTCTCCAGGCAGGATCTTAGAACTTGAATGGCACGGTGGGGGAAAATGGCTGAATTTGGCCAGGGGAGGTCATCCTGGTCAGGTGCTGCCATTAGCTCAGGATGATGCTGTGAGCGGTTACAAGCTGCTTGCCCTGTATTAGGTTCTTAGGGCTGCCTTTAGAAAGTACCACAAACTGAGTGGCTTGAAGCAATAGAAATTAATTGTTTTATAGCCCTGGAGACTACAAGTCTGAAATTAAGGTGTTAGCAGGGCCATACTTTCCAAAGGCTCTAGGGAAGAAGCCTTCCTTCCTTCTTCCCAGCTTCTGGTGGCTCCTGGCAATTCTTGGTGTTCCTGGACCTGGATTGCTCCAGTCTCTGCCTCCATGGTCACTGTGTGTCTACACATGGTGTGTGATGTTTAATTGTATGTGTCAACTTAAGTGGGCCCCTGGTGCCCAGATTAAACATTGCTCCTGGGTGTGTCTATGAGGGTGTTGCCAGAAGAGAATAGCATTTGAAGTGGTGAGCTCAGTAAATGGTTTGCCCTCCCTGGTGTGGGTGGGCATCATCCAATCTGTTCAGGGACTGAAGAGAACAACAGGTAGAGGAAGGAGGAATTCATCCTTTTTTTCTGTTTCACTGATTGATCTGGGTCATCTCTTTTCATTTTTTCCTTTCCTCAGACTGGGATATACGTCACTGTCTCCCCTAGTTCCCAGGCCTTTGGACTTACTAAATTATGCTACCAGCTCTCCTGGGTCTCCAGCTTGTAGATGCAGATCATGGAACTTCTGAGTCTCCATAATCTTGTGATCCAAGTCATCATCATCATATATATATATACACACACACACACACACACACACACACACACACACACACATATACACATACATATATACACACACATGTACCTGCATACATACACATACACATACACATATACTCAGCTGGCTCCTAAGGTGGAGGGAAAAATAAGTAGCTAGTCCTGTCAGCTTTCTACCAGAACTCTTTCCTGGTAAGATTGACTTAATAGCTGGAAAGACAGTCCTTGGAAAATCCTTTGCTCCTTTAAATTAAGCAAGAGTATGGTGATTATTAAGAGAAATGGCCAAACATGCCATTTGATAGGCATGTTGGCTGCTTATGCATCTTATCATAATCCTCAGATTTTTGAAGGCTGAGTAGCACATATGTAAAAATGTTTCCAGTATAGCAAAAAAATAAAAACTCTCTTTAAAACAGCTTTATAATGCCCACATTCCATGCTCTTATGAGAGCACAGATGCTGATGATCTTTTTTTTTTAATAGTTTGTCAAGTTGGTTTCCATATAACACCCAGTGCTCATCCCCACAAGTGCCCTCCTCCATGTCCATCACCCACTTCCCCTCCCCCCACCCCCATCAGTTCTCAGTTTGTTCTCAGCATTCAAGAGTCTCTCATGGTTTACCTCCCTCCCTCTCCCCCACTATTTTCCCCCCTTCTTCTCCCCCACGGTCCTCTGTTAAGTTCCTCCTAATTCTTCTATATGTGCAAACATATGGTATCTGTCCTTCTCTGCCTGACTTATTTCGCTCAGCATAACACCCTCAAGTTCCATCCATGTTCAGATGCTGACGATCTAGTGTATGCCGTTATGAGTTTAATTATGTTTCCCCAACCCCAATTTTTATGTTGAAATCCTCACCCCCAAAGGTGATGGTATTAGAAGGTGGGGCCTTTGAGAAATGATTGGGTGGAATCATGAGGATGGAACCCTCATGAATGGGACTGGTGCTTTGTAAAAGGAGCTTCAAGAGATCCCTAACCCCTTCCACCCTGTGAAGACACAGAAGGCAATGGCTATGAAGCAGGAAGGGGCCCCCCATCAGAACATGAGTATATTGGTGCCTTGATGTTAGACTTCCAGCCTGCAGAACTGTGAGAAGTAAACTTTGTTTTTTATAAGCCACCCTGTCTGGCATGCACTGAGACTCTCCAGTACCTCAGAAGGTGACCTTATTTGGAAATGGGGTCATTTCAGATATAATTAGTTAAGATGAGGTCATTATGGTGAACCCTAGTCCAGTCTGACTGGCAAGGGGAAATTTGGGCCCAGAAGCAGATATGCATCAAGGGAAGATGATGTAAAGATACAGGGAGAAGATGGCCCCTCTACAAGCCCAGGAGAGAGGCCTACATCCTTCCCTTGTAGCCCTCAGGGGGAACTAAAGTAGTAGATACTTTGATTTGGAACTTACAGCCTCCAGAATTGTGAGAAAATAAATTTCTTTTGTGTGAGCCATTCAGTCTGTGGTACTTTGTTATGGCAGCCCTAGCAAATGAGTGCACACTTCCTGGGTGTATCTTCCTATCAATCCCCAAACCTGAGTGGGGAGGATGAGGGAAGCTGCTAACTGCTTAGCTGATGGTCAGAACGAACCCATGAACAGGAACTTCTGAATCGTTTCCTTGGTGTCACCTTCAGCATTGTTCTTTTTCCAAGGACACATTTCGTCAGGACTTAGGCAGCTGATGAAATAGCAGTGCTGTCTCTCTCTCCCTGTTTTTCCTACCTTTACAACCAGCCTAGTTTCCAGAGCTACATTTAAGACCTAGCCAACACTGAAAATACTTGCTAACCATTTGGCTCCCCAGAGGTCAGCCTTGGATGATTCCTGTGGCTTTCAGGAAAATTAGTAGGTGAGATCTGATCCCACCTGGGGTCTCTGGCTCTTGGTGGCTGTGAGAGCAGGACTGAAGCAGTGGGCTTGTAGAGGCATTTCCTGTAGTTGTAAAGGGCTTCTCAAAAATAGAGCTGCCCCTCCCTGAACTGATACTGACTCTTCCACAGAAGTAAAAGGGGAAGGAAAAAAAAGTATCTTTTAATCAATAGCCTATTGAGTGTGTGTGTGTGTGTGTGTAAAATATGTATTTTTTTTTCTTTTCAGCCAGTACAGTCTACTCTGTCATCTTTGAAGATGTTAGATGTGGGAAAGTGGCCAATTTTCTCCCTTTGTTCTGAGGAAGAACTGCAGTTAATTCGTCAGGCCTGTGTCTTTGGCAATGCTGGCAATGAAGTTTTATATACTACAGTAAATGATGAGGTAAATTTTGAAAAAACATTCAGTCTCTTATAGCAATAGATTTGACGGGGTGGGGCGGAAACTGAGAAATTAAGGTTAAAAAGAAGGCATGAGGGTAGATTCTTATTTGTTACATAATGTTATACAATGAAGCAGTAATTGCAGGTTTGTCAGAAGTGCTTAAACTAACAGCTGTTTTCCCACAGATTTTTGTGCTTGGCACAAACTGCTGTGGCTGTTTGGGATTAGGTGATGCCCAGAGCACCATTGAACCTCGGAGACTGGATGCTTTAAGTGGCAAAAAAATAGCCTGCATCAGCTATGGGAGTGGCCCCCATATTGTCCTTGCCACAACAGGTAACCTAGGATCACAGTGTAGAGGTTTAGCTATTGCCTTACTTGTTGAGAAACAAGACTTAATGACCACCCCTTAAATTGAGAACATAGTGCTTGATTGGGTAGGAGTTTCTGGCTCTGCCTTGTGAATGTGACTGTGCTTTGGACAATGTGAAATAGGAACATATCTGAATATCAGAGTAAGATAATGGAGCAGATGGAATCTAGCAATTATTGGCACTTTCAGTGTGAGAAAGACAGTGCTGTAGTCCCAGTAAACCCCTTTTGTTTACACTTTATAAGTTTAATTATTTTGCATTAAAATGCTGAACTCACTCTGGACTCTTTGAACATGAGATCCCTGATCTATGAACTAAGACACTGAAGCTAAGTCCAAGGTATTCTCTGACTCCTAGCTCCCTGGATTTCTTACCATGATTAGTGACTGATGGCTGAAGTTGATATTAATACTATAAGGAATTAAATACTCTTGTGTCTATTTCATGAATTCTGACTAATAAGACATTATAATTATATCATACTTTGGATTTTTTCTTAAGCTACGTGTTCATTTTATTAGTATTCTTTGAACTGAAAATAAAGTTTATAAATATTCTTTTGTATACTTATTTCACACAAATTTTGGGGAATTTTGATTGCCAGTAATAGGCTAGATTATTTGGACCACTGCTTCACTGGAAACAACTAAAAATTCTAGATAAAATATTTAATTTTTTTCCACAGAGGCATCAAAGCACTAACAAGGCAGAGAGGAATGATTGGATCAGATTCAAGAGAAAGTATGAACAAAGGTTAAAGGGGAACTTAAAGCTAGTTTTGCCTTAAGGGCATCTGCCTCTCCACCTAAATGGAGTTGTGGTTTGATGTACTCACGAAGGGTCATGAGTCAGAGACCTCACCCTTTAGGCTAGGAACCCTAAGGGCTAGGCTCTGGGGGCAAGAATGGGCCAGCTCTTCCATCTCTAATGCACTGAACAGAGGAATCCTTGGCTGTGAGCAAAGCAAAGAGGAAAAAAGAAAGAAAACCTCTCCCTGAAGGGTTGTAATCATGGATTTGTATTCCATTTCACATCAGACTGGTAGTCCAAGGAATCTCAAGCCTTTGATTTATTAGAGAAGTACCTTTAAGTGCCTTATTGACATGACAGAGTTAATGTAGATCCTTCTAGAGAGGAAGGCACCTTCATTTCATCCTAGGTCTGAGGAAATACAGTGCCACTGAAAAATGAGTTTTCAATGGCAATTAGCAGTATAGTCAAAGATAACCAGGTATACAAGTAAACAAGGCACCATGAATGAGAACCAGCAAAAAAGATAGCAAAAACTAAGTATCAGCTATTCCAGGTAAAAGATGACTTTATTTGTTATGTTTGAAAAGATAAAAAATGAGCTTGAAGACCTGCAGAGATCAAAGAGGATTTGAAGAAGAATGAAATAAACAATATAATTATCAAAATGAAAACTCAGTGGGCAAGTTTAATAGCAGTTTGGACATATCAAGAGAGAAAATTAATAAGCTGGAAGATCAGAAGAAATTATCTGGCATGTGGCACACAGAGATAATATGGTAGAAAATACAAGCACAAGGGGCATATAGTGTATGGTTCCATTTATTTAAAGTTCAAAAACAGGAAAAAAAAGTTGTCTTATTCAGTATTATATATGGGGAGCTTTTGGAGTGATTATAAGGTTATATTTCTTGACCTGAGTGGTAGTACCTAGGTATGTGTTTTATAATTATTTATAAAACTGCGTATATATTTTAAGAACTTTTCTGAATATGTATTACACTACACAAGAAATAATATAGAACAAAGATTTTAAAAAGTAACTTGATCATTTTTTTAAACATTTCCATCATTCTTTTTTTTAATTTTTTTTTTAACATTTATTTATTTTTGAGACAGAGACAGAGCACGAGTTGGGGAGGGGGCGGAGAGAGAGGGAGACACAGAATCCGAAACAGGCTCCAGGCTCTGACCTGTCAGCACAGAGCCCGATGCAGGGCTCGAACCCTCAGAACATGAGATTATGACCTGAGCCGAAGTTAGACGCCTAACCGACTGAGCCACCCAGGTGCCCCGATTATCATTTTATAGATAAGAAAATAGGCCCAGAGAAATTAAATATCCTTACAGTCTCTTAACTTTGAATCTGATGTTTTTTCCTATTATTCTTAGTAGCAGTTCTCTGCCTTTTATTAAAAACCTATCTTACAGCTATTATAATTGCATCCATTTAAATTTCATCTTGTTGCTTTGAGATGGAATACAGTTTATATTTTCTAAATGTATTCTTTAGTAGAACGAGTTTGGTGGGACAGGGAAGTCAATTAGTTTTTGCACATGAATTTTTAGTTCTCATTTGTATTTTTAAAAAAATTTTAAATGTTTTTATTTCTGAGAGAGAGAGAAAGAGAGAGCGTGAGCAGGGGAGGGTCAGAGAGGGAGGGAGACACAGAAATTGAAGCAGGCTCCAAGCTCTGAGATAGCTGTCAGCACAGAGCCTGATGCAGGGCTTGAACCCATGAACCGTGAGATCATGACTTGAGCCGAAGTCAGATACTTAACCGACTGAGCCACCCAGGCGCCCCTAGTTCTCATTTGTAAAATGGTGCAATATATATGTTCTTATAGTAAAGTACATGTTTTGAAAGCTTGTTCTATTTCTTTTTTATTTTCAGAAGGTGAAGTCTTTACCTGGGGTCATAATGCTTACAGCCAGCTGGGCAATGGGACAACTAATCATGGTTTAATACCCTGTCATATTTCTACTAATTTGTCAAACAAACAAGTCACTGAAGTTGCCTGTGGGTCTTACCATTCTTTGGTGCTAACATCTGATGGAGAGGTGAGAATAGTTAGCATAAATCTCATTGATTATTTTCAGTAAGATTATATGGATTGTTATAGCCATCTTGGAAATATCATTTGATTAAAATAACCACCTCCCTCAAACTGAACCTAATTCTTGTTAGCAATTTGTAGTCATAGTGGTTACATCATGAAGTATACCTTTATGTAGTAAGTATTTCTATAACTGCAAAATTTAAAAGGTTATGTTCTTTCTGTATTGCTATACTTGGATTTTATTTGCAAAAAGAAGAATGCCAAAATGCTGGAAAATACGGCTGAAGCCAAGTAAATACTGTAATAAATATTATATGATATTGGATAATCATTATTGTTATTTGTACTGATAATACCAAGAACCTAATTTTATAAAGTAATGTATTTCATAAGAATGAATTTTACAAAAACTTCTCTGCCTGTATTGTGAGAATTTATGGATATCAAGCATTTTGAGAACAAAGATGAGGCATTATGAGTACCTGTTAGTTTCTAATTGAGATACTTTATAAATTAGTGTGTTTCATTTATTAATCCCCAGGTATTTGCCTGGGGTTATAATAACTCCGGGCAGGTAGGATCTGGATCAACAGCCAATCAGCCGATCCCTCGAAGAGTCACAGGCTGCTTACAGAATAAAGTAGTAGTGAACATAGCATGTGGGCAGATGTGTTCAATGGCAGTGGTGAACACTGGGGAGGTAAGAAAGTTATTTCACATGTTGTTTAAAAAATAAACATTTGCCTTATCGGCGGCATACTAACATGGCATGTTTCTCAACAGAGATCTTGCTTATGTCTTTCATGGGCACTGAGTCTCTGGTTTTCTCTCAGGTCTATGTCTGGGGTTACAATGGAAATGGGCAGCTTGGACTTGGCAGTAGTGGCAACCAGCCAACTCCCTGTAGAATATCGGCTTTGCAAGGCATTCGTGTCCAGCGGGTATGTCCACAGTTGGTTTGTGTGTGCCTATTTTTAAGTCTTTAGTGGCAAAGATACCAATGTACACAGTTTTCTTGGCAGATGAAAAGCTTCGCTGTTTGATGTTTTCTTTATTGAAGTAAAAGCTAAAGCTCTATTTCCCTGAATAAAGTTGTAGATGTTCATCAGGAAATTATATGTCTAAGCCACTCTCATACATAGCTATTGGAATGTAAATTGTTACAGTCTTTTCCAAGGAAACTTTGGCAGTATATATCAAGAGCCTTGAAAATTTCATATCCTTTGTTCTGAAATTTTCTTCCTGGGATATTTAAGGAACAAAAACAGAAGACACAGAATTAGTGGAGAAGATATAGCGAAAGAAAGAAAGAAAGAGAGAGAGAGAGAGGGAGGGAGGGAGGGAAAGAAAAGAAAAAATTGTTAATTTTAATAAATAACATAAATAATAGATGTAGCATAATTTATTTAATCAATTAAGTTAATGATTAAATGAATTATATGAAATCTACATGAATGGAGATGATGCTTACAAAGAATTTTAATGACATGGAAATAGTGCTATGTGATGTTACATAAAAATGAAGATGCAGACATGGTGCATGGAGACATGGAACATATTTCTGTATCTATATATATATATGTATAAGTAGAAAAAATCTTGATCTTGAGATTAATTTCATATTTATACTCTTTTACATTCCACACTAAGCATATTTCACTTTTACAATAAAAAATATTCTTAAAAAATAAAAGTGTATTTCATATTCACTTCACATGCCTTGATCTCTGTGAGCATAATGAATGTCATATGAAAGCCGAATGAACCAGACTCATGTCACTGAAGGACTTGTGTTGATCCTATGGCCATTTTGGCCACATGTGGGCTGAGGTGGTTATGGAGGAATACTGGTTACCTCAGTGTTGGTCTCTCTGGTCAGGCTGCCTCTTCATCTTCCTCTCCTCCTCCTCTTCCTCCTCCTCCTACCTTTTTCCTCCTCCTTCATTCTTCGTCTTAGTCTTCTTCATCTTCTTCCTCCTCCTTCTCTTCTTCCTCTTCCTCAACATCTTTGGTTCTTTTTTTTATTTTAACATAATTTTCTGTCAAATTGGTTTCCATACAACACCCAGTGCTCATCCCAACAAGTGCCCTCCTCCATGCCCATCACCCACTTTCCCTTTTCCCCCACCCCCTATCAGTCCTCAGCTTGTTCTCAATATTTAAGAGTCTCTTATGGTTTGTTTCCATCCCTCTCTGTAACTTTTTTTCCCCTTTCCCTCCCCATGATCTTCCGTTAAGTTTCTCAAGATCCACATATGAGTGAAAATATATGGTATCTGTCTTTCTCTGCTTGACTTATTTCACTTAGCATAATACCCTCCAGTTCCATCCATGTTGCTACACATGCCCAGATTTCATTCTTTCTCATTGCCAAGTAGTATTCCATTGTATATACAAACCACATCTTCTTTATCCATTTGTCAGTTGATGGACATTTAGGCTCTTTCCATAATTGGCTATTGTGGAAAGTGTTGCTATGAACATTGGGGTACATTGGGGTACAGCATTGTGCCCCTATGCATCAGCACTCCTGGATTCCTTGGTAAATTCCTAGAAATGCTATCACTGGATCATAGGGTAGGTTTAAATTTTTTGAGGAGCCTCCACACTGTTTTCCAGAGTGGCTGTACCAGTTTGCATGCCCACCAACAGTGCAAGAGAGTTGGACATCCTCCACATCCTCACCAGGATCTAGTCTCCTGATTTATTCATGTTAGCCACTCTGACCAGTGTGAGGTGATATCTCAGTGTGTCTTTGATGTGTATTTCCCTGATGATGAGTGATGTTGAGCACCTTTTCATGTGTCATGGATGTCTTCTTTGGAAAAGTGTCTTATTCATGTCTTCTACCCATTTCTCCATTGGATTATTTGTTTTTCAGGTGTGGAGTTTGGTGAGTTCTTCATAGATTTTGGATACTAGCCCTTTATTCAATATTGTCATTTGCAAATATCTTTTCCCATTCCGTCAGTTGCCTATTAGTTTTGTTGATTATTTCCTTTGCCGTGCAGAAGCTTTTTATCTTGATGAGGTCCCAATAGTTCATTTTTGCTTTTGATTCCCTTGCCTTTGGAGATCTGTCGAGTAAGAAATCGCTGTGGCTGAGGTCAAGGAGGTTGTTTCCTGCTTTTTCCTCTAGGGTTTTGAAGGTTTCCTGTCTCACATTCAGGTCCTTCATCCATTTTGAGTTTATTTTTGGGTATGGTGTGAGAAAGTGGTCTAGTTTCATTCTTTTGCATGTTGCTGTCCAGTTCTTCCAGCACCATCTGTTAAAGAGACTGTCTTTTTTCCATGGGATACTCTTTGCTGCTTTGTCAAAGATTAGTTGGCCATACATTTGTGGTCCAGTTCTGGGTTCTCTATTCTGTTCCATTGGTCTTTGTGTCTGTTTTTTGTGCCAATACCATACTTTCTGGATGATTACAGCTTTGTAGTAGAAGCTAAAGTCTGGGATGGTGATGCCTCCCACTTTGGTTTTCTTCTTCAATATTACTTTGGCTGTTTAGGGTCTTTTGTGGTTCCATACAAATTTTAGGATTTGTTTCTTCTAGCTTTGAGAAGAATGCTGGTGCGATTTTGATTGGGATTCCATTGAATGTGTAGATTGCTTTGGGTAGTATTGACATATTAACAATATTTATTCTTCCAATCCATGAGCATGGAATGTTTTTCTTTTTCTTTGTGTCTTCAAATTCCTTCATAAACTTTCTATAGTTTTCATCATGCAGACCTTTTACATCTTTGGTTAGGTTTATTCCTAGGTATTTTATGGTTCTTGATACAGTTGTGAATGGGATCAGTTTATTTCTCTCTCTTTTAGTTGCTTCATTATTGGTGTATAAAAATGCACCCAATTTCTGTACATTGATTTTGTACCCTCCAACTTTGCTGAATTCACAGATCAGTTCTAGTAGGCTTCTGGTGGAGTCTGTCGGGTTTTCTATGTAGAGTATCATGTCATCTGCAAAAAGTGAAAGTTTGACTTCATCTTTGCCAATTTTGATGCCTTTTATTTCATTTTGTTGTCTGATTGCTGATGCTAGGACTTCAAAATTATGTTAAACAACAGTGGTGAGAGTGGACATCTCTGTCATGTTCCTGATCTCAGGGGAAAGCTGTCAGTTTTTCCCCATTGAGGATGATATTAGCTGTGAGCTTTTCATAAATGGCTTTATGATGTTTAAGTATGTTCCCTCTATCCTGACTTTGTTGAGGGTTTTTATTAAGAAAGGATGCTGTATTTTGTCAAATGTGTTTTCTGCATCTGCTGACATGATCCTATGGTTCTTATCTTTTATTAATGTAGTGTATCATATTGATTTGTGAATATTGAACCAGCCCTGCAGCCCAGGAATGAATCCTACTTGAACATGGTGAATAATTCTTCTTATATGCTGTTGAATTTGATTTGTTAGTATTTTGTTGAGAACTTTTGCATCCAGATTCATCAGGGATATTGGCCTCTAGTTCTTTTTTTTTTTTTTGCTGGGTTTCTGACTGGTTTGGGAATCATAGTAATGCTGGCTTTATAGAATGAGTCCAGAAGTTTTCCTTCCGTTTCTATTTTTGGAACAGCTTGAGATGGATAGGTATTAATTCTACTTTAAATATCTGGTAGAAGTCCCCTGGGAAACCATCTGGTCCAGGACTCTTATTTGTTGGGAGATTTTTGAACACTGATTCAATTTCTTCACTGGTTATGGGTCTGTTCAAATTTCCTATTTCTTCCTGTTTGAGTTTGGTAGTGTGTGGGTGTCTAGGAATTTGTCCATTTCTTCCAGGTTGTCCAGTTTATTGGCATATAATTTTTCATAGTATCCCCTGGAGGAGGGGCCCTTCTGGTTCCACAGCTTCTATCCCGCTCCAGTAGATATGCAGTCACCTGGCATGGAGGGCCTGGTTTGGTGTAGGCTGGTCCCGCCTCCACTGTGGGCCCCACAGAGTGATCCCTGAGGCCCTGCCTTGGTCGGGGGGGAGGGGCGCTGGAGAAAAATGGCGAGCCCCCCAGTCTCTTCTCCATGGACCCATTGGACTCCTTTCTAGCCATCCTCACTGTGCCACAGACAGGGTGGTCTGTCTTGCTCTGCTGACTCCTGTGCCCCTATGCTTGACTGGGATTTAAACTCCTGCTCTGTGCCCCTGGCACTAGGGAAGCACCTCTCTCTGCTGCCAAATATGTGGTCCTGGCTGGTTTTGTCCTATCCCGCAGCACTTCTGCGTAGGGGACCAGTTTCTCCTGCTGCAGACTGCACCCCTGACCTACCGCCAAACCTGGAGGTGGCTTCCCTCCTCCCCAGGTGCACAAACATGGCAGCAAGCCCCAGCCCGAAGAAAGCCTTGCAGTTAGAGATGGGATCCTTCTCTGTCCCGATCAGAGGTCCTTCTTTTGTCCAGATATAGTCCTAGGCTTCCCCAGCTGCTCTTTCTCTTCTCTCTGCAGAAGGGGATCCCTCCCCTTCATGCCTATGGCCCATTTTATCTCCCCTAGTTCTCAGTCACCCAGCTTTGGTTCGTCAGGTTGTCCTGGTTTCTCTCTGGTAGACTCAGTCTCTTTTCCTCATAGACTCTTGGAGTTCAAAGTCCTCTGGCTTCAGCCCTTCTTTGTTTGAGAGTCATGGGAAGTACAGATTGCTGTACTTCTTTGCCATGTTGGCCAGTCTTGAGTACATCTTTGATTTTTAACCTGTCTCCTGAAAGCATATTTGCAGGCCTAAGTGGTTTTGGTTTTTCTCTTTCCAGGTTGCCTGTGGCTATGCACACACATTAGTCTTAACAGATGAAGGCCAAGTGTATGCTTGGGGTGCAAATTCTTATGGCCAGTTGGGCACTGGCAATAAAAGTAACCAGTCCTATCCTGCACCTGTCGTTGTGGAAAAGGACAGGTAATACATGCATTTTCAAAACAACTTGCATGTTCTTTTGGGATTAAACAGAATTTGGACATGATACAGAATTGTGGGGAACTTACTGCTAATATTAGAATATTCTTTTACCAGAGCATTCATTCCTTTTTAAAATTGTCTTGGGGAGTTTGTATGTTAAATACTCTACTTTCATTTACCCCTATTTCAGCTACTCTACAAAAACAACAAGGACTAAACCTCCAGTAGCTGTTCTACATTATCTTTCTCCCTCACAAATTACCTTTTCCTCCTCCTCGTTTTTTGTTTTACATTCTTAAGAGGAAGTTGATGATGCTTGAGGTCAATTTTCTATGGCTTAGAAAAGCAAAAAGTACCTCAGATGGGATACAAAGCCATTCACTCAGCTGTGTGTAAAATGTGCCAGTTGAAAGGATAAGACTACTTCATGATTTTAGTTCCCAAGCTATCACTATGAGGCAGAGTATAGTGGTTAGAAAATTAAGCCTTAGTTTTGCCCAATCATTTGCAAGGTTGTGTCAAGTAATTAACATATCCAGAATTTTCTCCCAAATTAGCCTACTACTTTTGAAAACCTTTTGAATGTCTCAAACATGGCCATAGCATTGCCTTTTCACTCTTATTTCTTGACACGGTGCTGTGGGACAAAAATATTTCATTATTGTGTCTGTTAAACCAGGTTTGTAATTATTGTAGGAATTAATACTTCTATTTTCATTTTTATTGTACATACTAATTTTTGATATATCTGATTTTAAAGTAAGTATATGGATATATAGATTATCTTACATTTATATGCAATTCTTTCGTATTATCCTGTTGGAATTTTTAACAATAAAAGTGAAGAACCAAATTGTCTTTTTCAACCCCCTTGATTTTCATGTATTATAAACCTGGTTAATTTTAACCTGTGTTAAATAGTTTTTTAAAAAAACAAACCAATTTTTGTTTTATTCTTCCCAAAATCTTAGAATAAGACTGGACCTCTTGAGGACTGGGGAGGAGGAAAGGGAATGGAGGTCAGGAACTGGTGGGAATGTACTAGATGTATGCATCCCTGCCATGGTCATCCCCCTTATAGGTAGTTCAGAGCTCCTTAATGAAAAGAGAAGGGACAGTCTTGAGGCTTTGAGCAATCACGAAAATGCCTCAGTGTAGCAAGTCTGGTCAGTAGGGACATTTAGTATTTAGACAAACAATAAAGAAGTTTAAAGGATCAAATAAAGGTGTCATGGAAATAAAAACAACACATTTGTGTGGCACTTTACCATTTTGATGGTGCTGTCACAGTTTCCATAAATTTTAACTCTGTCCCAGACCTGCCAAATCCACTGCTGTGTGCCCACCAGCAGCTTGGCCCACATCGCTCTGCTGGTCCCTGGTCATCCCAGGATGAGCACCAGGTCTTCCAACTCCCATCACGCTGGGCCTGATAGATTGTAAGACATCTTGGGGGAGAAGGAAACAGAGGCAGAAAAGCAGAGCAGGGGAGTTATGTTGTGTGCCAACTCCTTACCTGGTACTTGAGAGTATTGCTTGTTTGTCTATTTTAAAAACATAAGGTTTTTAAAAACTTTTTATCTTTTTTCAAATTTTGATTTATAAATCCAAAAAAGTGGAAATAGCTACACACTTGCACCTTTGCTGTTGCCCATGTAATCATTATTTTGGCTACAGATGTCATGGATGAATGTTTTGAATGAGATACTCCTGCTTTTCTGTTTTCCATGCCTGAATTTGCTGTGGTAATCCCTGAGCTTGCAGGCTCTCCATCACACCAATATTGCGAGGGAGGAATTTGTAAGTCTGCTGGGACTTGTTTTGCATGTATCCACCCTTTTCAGCGACTGAAACTTGCAGATATGTTATGACTTATCTTTCAAGAACTCACTTCTGACTCTTGGGGCCCATTTCGGGGAAGTTTGACTAATTAGAAACAAAAGAATTGAATATTAGGGTGGGGTGGATCTTCAGGTCCTGGTTACCTGTTCACAGAGTGGAAAGTGAAAATCTGTGTACATTGGATCCTTTGCTTAAACGACAACCCAAGGAAAACCTTTTAAATTACTTCCCGCAGAGGTCTACTTATGATGAAGAATGCTAATAACATTTGTTAGCAATTTATGTTCACATTAAAGTAATTTTAATGACTAAAGTGATTCTCTTCTCTCTAACCCAGTAATTCCCAATCTTTCAGAAGTCTCAGTACTTTGATTTACCAGCATTTGTCTTTGTTCTTAAAGTTCCATAAAAGCATATTTGAAGTTAAATTGATTTAAAGCTAACTTTGCCTTGATTTTTTGTGAATTTTGTGACACCTTGAGATAATTGGTAATATGTTGGTCTCTTACAAAACCAGGCTTGGGAATCATTGCTCTGGAATTTTTTATTATCACTATTTCTTCTCCATTCTTCTTCTCTCTCACAAATTACCTTTTTCTTCTCCTCATTGTTTCCTGTTTTATATTCTTCCTCACTCTCTCCTTTTTCATTTCTAGTACTTCACAGCCATTAAGCGACGGTTGTTGGGGATCATTCCATTGAGGTGACACAAAACTCATTTATTATGAATGTCTAGTGCCTGTTTTTTTCATTAAGCATGGCTACAAAATAAAATGTGAAATATGCCAGGCATCCTGACAGTAAAGGTTAGCTCAGTTTATGGTCATCATCTGTTGCATATTAGACTGGAAAATCTGAGCTTCAGAATTTTGCTTCTTGGTATGAATCAGATTTAGGAACAGATGACCTTAGGAAACAGCAGGAGGCGTTGGCAGTTGGTTGGGTCCCAAACAGACTTATAGGTTCCCTCTAAACTTTCTCCACTCTTGTTCCTGTAGCAGCTGCTGCCGTCAGCCAAGCCCGTGCCCCACCCCTGACTTCCCGTGTGCTGCTAGGTGTTCCAGGTAAACTTCACAAGGCCATGCTGAGGCAAGGCCAGTGCCCCACAGCTTCTGTATCTTGACCCCTGTGCTGTGTCTGTTCCAGCATTTCTCCACGAAGCAGGGTTTCCTCCTCCCTAAGGGCAAAGGCTACTTCCTTCCCATGGAGGCTAGTAAAGATATTTCAGAAGTGAATGCAGGAATTAAAATATTTTGGTTTTCTGATGCTAGGTAGTTGAGCCCAGAAGGACACTGTTGTGTTCCCATTAGTTAGATTTTTTCATAGAACATCATTAGGGAAGAGAGAGGCTATCTGTGATTTTAAGTGGTTTTCCGGAGTTTCTGCAGCCACTGGTAAACATTTTAGTCATCAGAAGTAACTGGTTTTGGGTGTGCACTGCACTGGGTAGCTGATTTCATTTACTTCTCACAAGGCTATGAAAGGATTGCTACCTGAATCCTGCTCTCCTCAGTTGTTTTTTTTTATAAGATAAAATAAATGATAAGATTTTAAGTACTTGGCCTTCATAGGCTGCTTTTGGCCTGCAGCCCTGTGACCTGCCCCTCGCAGCAAGCCATGTAAAATGAAGTGTGTTTCTGCCCTCTCACATTTGCTGTAATGTGCGAGGGTAGATGGTAAAAGTAGATGCCTTTTCTTTGAATAAATGCCTTTATTCCATTTCCTTGCACGTTTTTCTTTATTGAGAAAGATATATTTATTGAGAAGCCAAATAGGATTGACTATTTTCCCTGTGTGGGCAAGGAAAATTCTTTTATAAAGCACATATTAGAGGTTTGGGCCCATTCACTGACTTGGCCATGCAAACAGGAAAGGTCTTACTGTCCAAATTGATCACTGGAAATGTAGTCTCTACATGAGGGAGGCTTTGTCACTTAAAATGCCAAGAAATAGTAAATATGTTAAGAAACCTCTACTGCTGGCTACTATTTGTACACCAGATACTGTCCTTGGTATTTAACATTTTATCATTTAACTTGTATGTACTAGCTTGCAGTGTGATGGGACTGAGGCTCTGGAACATTCCCGCAGTCACATTGCCTAGTGATAGAGCTAGGGTGGGTCCCTCGGTGTGTTTGACCCCGACAGCCAGGCTCCACTGCGGTACATCAGAGCTTCCTGTGTAGTACTCCCATCTTCAAGAGCTGAGAACTGCCCTTGAATGAGTCAGTGAATGACTTAGACTGCACATGAAAACTGTACACTTCAGCTTTCTGAGCCAAGCCACCACAGCAGTTCAGCTTGTATGATGACCATCTTCCTTCCTTGTCTGGGAAATGTCTAGTTAAAACAGGCAGTGGAGGGATGTCTCCACCCTCCAATTGCTAGGCTGTCAGTGGGGTCTTACCCATCCCTCAGTTGCTCTGTGTTATTGTGCCTTTCTCAATTAGTCCATAAAATAACCTAAAAATTGTTCTTCATAAGATACCATACTGGGGAGAGACACTTAGAGAAATAAGCCAGTAATTCACCCTGCCAGGATCTTGTAACTAGCTGAGTAGGTAAGACATACATCCCTGAGAAGATAAGGGGCAGGCTGGAGTGGTGTGGATGGCATAAATGGCAAGAGTGCAGGTGAGCCAGAGACCTCTTCCTCTGGGGCCGTTTAAGCTGAGCCTTGGAAGATGGGCAGGATTTCTAAGGCAGAGAGAAAGAAAAGAGCATTCCTGCACAAGGACTTTGTGAATAAAAATGTTGGAGGGCAGTGAGTACATCTGTTTTGGAACATAGGGTATGTAGGTAAATGTGATTTGAAAGAGAGCTGGATAGAGGTGCAAGACAAATTATGGAAGGTCTTGATGTCACACATCTGGATTTTAATCTTGTGGGAAGCCACTGAAGGTTTGAAAGTACTGATGAATGTTTTCAGAGGATTGTTAACCTGCCAGCCTTGTGTGATTTGGTTCAGAAAAGAGAGAGTCTGAGGCAGGGAGAACACAGAAGCTGTTGGCTTTGGTCTAGATATGGGGTGTGCCTGACCTAGGGTGGTGGCAGATGGGAGAAAATTACAAAGAGAGAATCTGTTATTTGCCAACTTGATATTCTGAAAAAAGTGAGGAGGGAGAAGTCAAAGATGACGCTGAAGCTCTGAGCCTAAGTCACTGAGGATGTTGGTACCATTGCCTGCTGTGGGCAAAATTAAGATGGCAAACTCACTTAGGGTAAAATAGTTTACTATCTTTTGTGAATCTGTACAGCGGCTTATTCTTAGAGAAAGTTAATTATTTCTAAATCAACAAAAAAACAGGGCTTTCTATTAGGAAGTATTCTGAGAACTGCCTCCCTGGTAATTGTGAACTTATCAGAAAACTGCGCTCTTGGGCTCTCGAAGAGAGAGTCCAGTGAGTTAGAACTACTAACCTTACTCTCTGCAGTGTGAGTTGGGGTGGCCCACAGTATGTTCCATCTAACAGTAAAATTGGTAAAGTTTTGATGAAAATATTTCTTGATATTGGGTCAAGGCCAGGGTTAAGTAACCCAGGTCTTTATTATATACTTCATTAGGTCATGTTTTAAGAAAAAATTAGATCACTGTTTTGTTTATTTGTTTGTTTTGGCCTCTACCCTTGGGTTGTTCTTGCATTTCACAATGGGACAGTACATATTTTTGTAGGCCTACTGGCTACAAGTGGTGACAAGTAGATTTTAATGAGTTGTGCCACTGGAGGATAGCCTACATAACTGGCTTTGGTATCTGAAAATATTGATTAAAATTGATTTAAATCTTTTTTTGTTTTTTAAATCCGTTAAAGTTAAAGGAAGGAGAGATCAACTTGTTTCTTCTCCTGTTTACCATGTTCACTTGGTATTTATTTGTGAACCTAGAATTATAGAGATTGCGGCCTGCCACTCGGCCCACACGTCGGCTGCCAAGACCCAGGGCGGGCACGTGTACATGTGGGGCCAGTGCCGGGGCCAGTCCGTGGTCCTGCCTCACCTCACCCACTTCTCCTGCACCGACGACGTGTTCGCCTGCTTCGCCACTCCTGCCGTCACGTGGCGCCTCCTGTCTGTGGGTGAGCGGTCTTCGTCTGTTTGGGTGCCAGCCTGACAACCTTGGTGCTTTTATTGTGATAGTAAGGACTTTTTAGGTGCAGCAGCATCTAATTTCTCTCTAATGGGTCCTGTGAAAGGAAACTAATTTGACGGATTAATTTTTCTTGAAAGTATCAGAAACCAGCATCACATACTAAACCAAAAGCTATTTTATTTGACTGCATTTTTAATGTTCCCGGAAAATGATTATCTTTATTTTTAACTAGTCTATTTACTCAAACATTGAAAAATTTCATTGACGGGGGCGGTTTGGGACTTTTTAGTTGTTCTGCCAGGTTTATAAGGAGATGTGTGTGCGGCTCTTACCCTTAATGATTACAGAGATGTGAAAATCTGTAGAGGGGAAAAAAGCATTGCTCAGTTGGCCATTTGTTTTGCGTATTTTCATGAGTGTCGCAGGAGCAATGCTGTATTCTGGCCTGTGTTTCTCCTATGTCTGTCATTAAGCCCAGAAACATTGGTGTTCTCTGTAGAACCTGATGATCACCTGACAGTGGCCGAGTCGCTCAAGAGGGAATTTGACAACCCCAACACTGCAGACCTGAAATTCCTGGTGGATGGAAAGTACATTTATGCACATAAAGTCCTTCTCAAAATTAGGTAAGGAGTTATTTATTTTAGAATTGAAATAAATACATATATCATTTTCTAAGTGTTCACAGAACTATGGGAGACACTTCAGTAATTACAAAAAAAATCGTTAAGGCTGATTTTGCCTTGCAAGCGTGCAATGCAGTGGGGAAGCACGGTACATGGGAAACGAGAACTATCAGGGGCCCGTGGGGGAGTGAGTAAGGGCTGCGGGCTTCCTTAGACACCTGGCTGGTGGTCTGATGACCTCATTTTAACTTGATTACCTCTGGAAAGATCCTTTCTCCAGTTGTTATATTCTGAGATTAGGGCACCAGCATACAAATTTGGGGTGGGGGAGACAATTCAACCCATAACAGGAGGAAACCACCTGGTTTCCATAAATGCTGCTCCCCACGCACTGTGCAGCAATGACACCTCGGAGTCAGCTCTGCTACAGCTGGTTTGCATTTGCAGCCTCGTCCAATAAGTGGTGGTCAGTAAACTTCCAACTACCCAGAGGGGGACACAAAAGGTGTGGAATGTGAGGAGAATCTGTGCCGTGCTCTATGTTTCCTTTCTCCTTGTCAGTTCCCCTTGAAGCCTTACGAGGATGTCCCCCTCAGGAGGTTCGGCTGCTCTCACCCAGAAGCTAGGGCCTCACATGCTCCTTTCTTCCTTCAGGTGTGAGCATTTTCGTTCCTCATTGGAAGACAACGAGGATGATATCGTAGAAATGAGTGAGTTTTCGTATCCTGTTTACCGAGCCTTCCTGGAATACCTGTATACAGACAGCATCAGCCTTCCCCCTGAGGAGGCAGTAGGTAATCGCCACCATACTCTCCCAAGAGAGGGGCACAGTGCTGAGTAACTGGCAGAATGGAAGTGGCCGTGGGGGGATCACACACAGTTCTCTCTTTGTGTGTCAAACTCACACTTTTCCCTGGTTACTGCTTCATACAGAGGGTGACTTGGCGGATCTCAAACCATCAGCAGTGTGGAGTAGGTTTAATTGCCTTATGTAAGGAATGTGTGCGACTGTTTGGCCTCCACCCCAGCTGCCCCTGAGATGTCTGCATTAGAAAGAAGGTGAAAGGCACGTAGTAGTAATAAGCCCTGCTGGTCTCCCTAACTGGGAATTGCCCTCTAGATGGCTTTGGGACAGAATGCTGTGGGCCTTCTGGGGCCTTTTGTCCTGAAGGTAGTGTGGGGTGTTCCCTGCCCCTCAGGGGTATGGGCAGTAAAAAAGCCAAACAGATCATCAGGTGCAGAGTAACAGACACAGTACATTTTAGTTCACAGATGTCAGCAATATTGTTGGCCGATGGCACACAGAATTAAGGAATTACTTCTACAAGGAACTAAAGAAACAGCTCAGCCCTCAGATTTTTAAATTAAATTTTCATTTCACATGTTTAAATCCAGTATCACTTTTTACCAGATCAGCATTTAGTTTACCTCAGGTAAACAAGAATCTGATTTCTGAAGTTTTACGGTTTTCCTTCCTTCCACTAACGATTTAGTGTCCATGCCCAGGATGTGCCACAGCTCTGCTCAGTGTCTGTGCAGGAGACTGACTAGGGCCCTGCCTCTGGGGGTTTGTGTTCAGATGAGGGAGACCAGCCCTAAACAAGCAAATATGTGGAAGCCGTGAGGAAGTGCAGGGAGCAGATTGCTGGGGGAAGCAAGAGGGAGAAGCCATGCAGATACCCAAGGGAACAGCCCCCTGGGAGACAGTGAGTGCAGAGGTCTGATACAGGCACAGATTTGTGGAGGAAGAGGAAGAAGGCCAGCGTGGGTGGAGTGAAGTGAGACTCAGTGTGGTAAGAATTAGGTCAGGCAATGGGATGTGCGCAGGAGCATGACTACCCTTGGGGGCCATGGTGAAGAGCTCAAATTTTATTTCTGGTGTGGCGGAAAGCCTTGGAAGGTTTAGAGCATGAGGCTCATGTTATTTAGGATTTGCTTTGACAGCAACATTTTTAAAAATGTGGTTTAAGCAGGCTAGTTTCTCTTTCACAACAAAGAGACAGTGCAGGGCATCCCATGTGTGGCCCCTGTGCTCACAGTCCAGGATTGCATTTGCATTACCAGCAGGATGGAGGAAGGGATAATGAGGATGGGGCAAAGGGCAAATCCCAGTGTCTCTTAAGGAAGGGTCCTGAAGTTCCACTTATTCCAGATCATGGACCAGAGGTGACTAAGGCCATACCCCAGCTGCATGAGAGGCTGGGGCAAGTGGTTGAGGAAGAAAGGGAGAACAGGTCTTTGTGTTGACTGAGTTGGGGGAGCGGGACGCGAGGCATAGCAGCTTCTTTGACAGGAGTGATGTGATTTGCTTAGTTGTGACGGTTCAGGTGTAAGGTGATGATCCCCTGGATAGGGTGGCATAGCGGTGAAGGTGTTGAAAAGAGATCATATTCTGGATATATTTTAAAGATGGGATTTTTCCACGGATGGCACGTGGGGTGTGAGGAAAACAGAAGTAATGACGGCTCTAAGCTGTTTGGCCTGAGTTGCTGGGTTAATGGAACTATCATTCAATAAGATGAGGAAGATGGAAAGTAACAGGTTTTGCCCTTGGGTTTGAGAGGTCACAGGAGTTTGAGTTGCTTGTTAGATATCTGCACAGGAAGATATCTGGAGGCTTGGGGCCTGCCATCTTTCTTTACCCATCACCAGCTGCACCCTGCATCACAAAGGGGTATATGGGCATACCCCAGCTTGCATGGCCAAGCTCCATCCACCTGGGCAACCACTGGGGCTGGGCATCTGCACATTAGTTGCATGGGCAGGAAAGGGAGCAAATGTACATGTAAAGGGCCTCAGGGCCAACTAGGTAGGGAATTCCAGAGTCCCCAGTGACCAAAGTGTGGCCTAGGAGTGGATGCTTGGCTCCTTGGCCACTGTGGTGAAGGCTGTGCCTGGAGGAGATGCTGATCTGGGCTGTGTTGAACAGGGGATCAGGGCACGATCTTCTCTTAGGGCAGCTCAGGAGTACACATTTATGTGATTCTGCAGCTCAAGAGGGTGTGGGGCTAGGGAGAGGATTTTGGGAGTTGCTGAGGACCAAAAACAAATGAGCCATCACAGGTCTCAAGATTTCAGTATCCTCCATTGGGCCATAAGCCTTGCCTCTATAATTTTGATAGTGTTGGTCACATTACAATGAAAACAGGTTTGCAACCCAGCCCTCCCACCTGTGCAAGATGCATTGGCAGATGGATGCAAAAATAGTGGTATTTTAAGACTGATGAAATCCCAGCTCTTTTTGTCCCTTGCAGGGAAGATTAGCTTGATGTAGATGTGATGATTTTCTAAGAGAGAATTCAGCTAACCTTTTGATCAGGCGACAACCCAGACTGGATGTAGAACTAGTGAGTGTGCCTCTCCGAGCACAGGGCCTGCTGGTCTCAGGGTGCTTCATCCCATTGATGGCAGGGCAGGAGGACCCTCACAGTGCTTCTAGCCAAACCTTGTATCCAAACATAGTTCCTTTCGTAAGTATTTTCACAAAGTATTTTTCTGTATGCTAATTAACAAACCCTTGATGGAGACTTAGATAGCCATATCCGTAACTTATATGTGTTTATCACTCCGTCATGACTTATGTGAAAGTAGGTAACATAATATAACAGGAATCCTCACTATTTATAGATGGTATTTTAAACTGGGGGGGGGGGGGGCAGGGGTTGGTGCTGGAAGTCACTTAGAGAAATAAGTGAAGTTAGAATCTGAGGATTGAACCCTGGAGCACTCAGAACACTTGGAAGTTAGGAAAAATGGCCCAGCCAAGAGACCGAAGAGAACTATGGAGAAGAAAAATACAAGGCAGTAATGGGTTTCAAGAAGAGAAGCATCACCAGCCATATCTAATTCTGTATAATGTGGAGTAAGATCAAACCAGACAACGGCCCCTAGGATTTGGCTCCACGGAAGCATTCATGACATTTGGGAGAGGAGGGGATGGGACTCTGCTGGAATGACCTAGGGGGAGAATGGGAAATGAGAAAATGGAGGCAGCAAACAGGATGTTCCCTAGGTTTGCAGAGAAATGGGGGAGACTGAAGGGAGACAGACATGTGTCCATGAAAGGTGTCTCTTTTTTCTTCATTGAAAGTATGGGCACTATTCCAGCATGTGCATGTGCTGATGGAAATGACCCAGGAGAACAAGTGACCATGTGGGGGAAGCCTTCACAGGAGAAATATGAAAGCCATCTTCACTGTGTGCCTGCCTTTTCACAGCTACTTGTGTATCATATTTGCTCAGATCAACTGTGTTCACAGGTAGAACCACACACTCAGAGTCAGCACAAGTCTTTATTTTACACAGCTCTTCCTTAAGGATTATATTCCAAATAATGTCACAATCATCTCTTGAAGGGTTGGCTGAGTTTAATCAGGATGCTTGAAATCACTTCCCCTAATAAATCTCTTCCTGCCAGGATTACTTGATTTGGCTACATTTTATAGAGAAAATCGTTTGAAAAAACTCTGTCAACAAACTATCAAGCAAGGAATCTGTGAGGAGAATGCCATTGCCCTGCTTTCAGCTGCTGTAAAGTATGATGCTCAGGTAAGAAAAGCATCCTTTCAACTAGCTGACCTTCTGGAGAGAATGTTAGGTGTTTAGTTCATACATTAAACTAAACTCAAGTAAATCAACTAAAAGTACCAGAAAAGGTGGACATTTATATAACGTTACGGTGGAGCTCCAAGAAAGAAGCCATAAAGGTAAGGATTGATAGGTCTGATTTTAGAAAGAAAAAAATATCTAGACATCAAAAAATACCACCAAGACAAGTATAAAGTTGACACAGTGGGGAAAATATTTGCAACATATAGTGAGGCACATTTACCATAGTTAACATATAGTTCTTAGAAAACAAGAAGAAAACATTAGCAGTTTGATGGAACTAAAATGGACCACAGAACAAAATGGATTTATGAATAAGTGAAAAATGAAAATAAGGTATAATTTTTCATCTGTGAAACTGGGGAATGTTTTCTTACAGATAATGCAGGTTCAGAATATTGGGTGTTCTGAATAGCTGCTAAGGGTGTGAATCGGGGCAGTCATTGTGGGGGCACCTGGTACCAAATGTATTGAAAGCTTTAAGGAATGTACTTATAGGAACTCGTCCTAAGGAAGTAATCATGGATTTGGACAGAGATTTAGCTTCAAAGGCTAAGTTTACTGTAGCACTGCTTATAATTTTAACAATTAGAAAAAGCCAACATGAACAGTAGAGATTTCTTTTAACTGTAGTATGTTAATACTATGAAATATGTAGCTACTCAAAATATATTAATTGAAAAATGAACATTTTTAAGAGCATAAATTTAAAAAATTTTTTAAAAAGCAGTAAGACCAAAATTTATTATCTACATAGAAAAAAAAAGGACTAAAAAACATAGTCAAAGGTCATCTTTGAATGGTGGGATTATGGATGATTTTTATTTCCTATCTTTGCTTGTTTTTTCTGAACTTTCTACAGTGACTGTGTATTGTTTTGATAATAAAGAAAGGAAAGAAAACCTCTCTTAGAGCTAAATCTTTAGGAAGCAGCCCATTCTTCTTGGAGTCGATTTCCTTTTGTTATAAGGATATCCTCTCTGGTCAAAAAACAGGAACATTTTAGTGGTGGGCAGAAAAAAGTTTATAACTTTCTTTTCTGTTTGTATAAATAAATATGCTTATTAAAGAAAATTTCAAAAATACAAAAAAGTATGAGGAAGGAGATGACTCATCAACCAGAAAACATGAACATCACACAGCTCTTGTTTTTTTCCTATGTTACAAGATGTATATTCTCTAAACATTGGATTTTTTTTCACTTAACATTTAAAAAAAATCTTACCCACCTTGAAACATTGATATTAAAGCATAGTGAATGTCTTTCGTTAACATAGTACTACATTGGGCACTTAGAACATGCAGACACTTCATGGCTAGGCCAGACTCCTCCCTAGTTTGTTAAAGTCATGGCGACAGTACTGGAGGCAGGCGCCTATGTCCAGTGACGAGGCCGTGGGCACACAAGTGTTTCCGCCTGAACCAGGCTTGATTTTCAAGACTTTTTCATATTCCATATTTATGTGAATTCTTTGTATGGTTACCTTCCAGCCTTCTGTTTTCTAGAAAGTAAGCTCCTTGAGGAATGGCAAGGATTTTGTTTTGCTCATAACCATATACCTACTGCCTACGTTGGTACCTAACACATAGTAGAAACTCTCCTCAGCTAGAAATATTTCAGCTCCTAGGAGAATATAAAAGTGGAGTATTTTAACAAATACTGACAGGTACCTAGTGCCTATTTCTGGGAATAAAAAGATTCTTTGCACTGGCTGATATTAAGGAACTTGAATATTTTACTCTGTTATTTAAATGTTTACAAGCACAGATTCATGTTAGTGATACAGTTTTATAACTATTCTTTAGACACTGCTGTACCAACACTTCTTCCTATATTGGCTCTCAAATCCTTGTTCCTTCCTATGTGTCTTAGGAATTTTCATGCTGAGTTGCACTGCATTGGGATATACAAATTTATTAAAGCATTTTTTGTTGTTGTTCCTAGGATTTAGAAGAATTCTGCTTCAGGTTTTGCATAAATCATTTGACTGTCGTAACACAAACTTCAGGCTTTGCAGAAATGGACCATGATCTTCTGAAGAACTTTATCAGCAAAGCAAGCAGAGTTGGAGCCTTTAAAAATTGATTCTCATCTGCAATAAAGAATTTTTAGCATTTCCATTTTCCCTGCAAAAGCCAGAGAATGACTTCTCCTTAACTGGCTGAATACTTACGTTCTGTCAAAAGAAGGTGGTGGTCGGTCTGCCCTGTGCTGAAGTCTGAAGTTTACTGTAGAAGGCATTCCGTGCTCTGATCAGATGTGACTAAGCTTAAGGGAAAAAAATTAAAATGTCTTATTTACTATTTCCTCTTTCAAGTCACTTAAATTAAGTTGGACCCTTTTGGTACATTGGTCTAAGTATATGCTATCCTGGCCGAATTTCTGTTCTTCAGTAGGCTGAGACCACATAGAGAGCTGGGCATTACATTGTCAGCATCCAAAACGATGCCTTGTATACACACTCAGTTCATTTATTATAAATCTTAAGTATGCCCAGAAAACAATTTTATTTGTGGGATACTGGATGAAGGAATAACTTGCACAAAAACAAATTTGAAACAGCCCATAACTATTGAGGTTCATATTCTTCTGGTACCTGGTTCTAAGTAATAGTGGTTGATTTAGAGCATTAATTAGAATTCACAAACGGCCTTGACAGTTTGTCAAAGTCCCAAGGGCTAATTTTAATTTTCTATTTACTCTGAGACATTAATTTCTTATATGGGATTATTGAATATGAAGTACTATCTTTGAATGAATGTTATTTCTGGGCTCATCTGCCTTACATAATTGCATAATGTCTTTTCCCTTTGGGTTGAGAGATTTGCCTGTGTATGTAAAAATGATTATGTGTTTTTCTTGTAATGGAGTTTTATGTCACTATGAAATAGTTCTCTTAATCTGGCACAGAATAATTATAAAGTATTAGCCGAAGAGGAGCTCATACTTATATTGCCGAAGAGGAGCTCATACTTATATTTCAAGGACAGCATTAAGAAGAATGAGATAAATTTATACTTTTTCAGTCAAAATAAGTTACCCAACTGCAAAAGAAATACTGAAACGGGATGTAGGATGTAGTATCAGATTCCTCTAATATGTGTTTCACAATGTGGTATGTATTTCACAATATGATATTATGTAAAGAAAACTCTTTTGGAATTAGAAACCTTGTTCTGATGCTGAACTATTTGATAATAAAGTACTTATTTGTAGATAATAGAACAAATGTGTTTTAAAATCTCTAATAAGCAGCAAAATTGTATCAACCCTTATATCTCCTAGATTTACACAAATCCATTTGATTAAGCTTATTTTTGGAAGCAGTTACTCAGCTAACATATCATAGCAAAGCCCACCCTGAAACATAAATGGCATATAAACAACATAATTACTGTTCATATTATTGCCTGTGACTACTCTTTATTGGTGATGACACTTTTGAATCCTTAGTTTCTTTTTGTTTATCTGTTTTTGCAGACCTCATCTGGTAGAGGCAAAATGGCCTTGACCTCTAGTTCTTAATCAGAATCCTGTTATTGGAATTATATATTCAGTTATTTGTTATTTTAAGTTAGCCATATATACCATTTGTTTTCATTATTTGATAGATTTGGTCTTTTATCTACCAAAGAAACATTCACACCTGGTTATTACCCACAGCTATCAGTTCAGGCATTTAGACAATGGCAGCGTACACTGCTGACCTTTCCTCCTCACCTTCCAATGCTAGCTGGAATCGGCCAACGCCTTTACACGCTCACAAGGTCTTCCAAAACCTTCTCTTCCTTTCTTGCCTATTTCTGCCAGGGTCTCTTGAAGCTTCTTCATGCCTCTTTTATGAAATCAATTCATGTAAAAATTGAAACACTCAAAGGGAACAGATAAGTTTACTAAGGTATGAAAAAATGGCCTGCCCTTTACCAAACTCCACAATCAGTAAATAGTCATGCTGCAGGGTACAAGTTATTAAAGAGGTTTGGGGGTTTTACCCAGATTTTCTAACCTCTGTTATATGTAGGTTTGTACTGCTGTTATCTCTCAGTTCTTCTGATCTCTGTGTACAACAGAATAACCTATGGAACTTGTACCAAACGTATTTAAAGATTCTAATTCAGTATGTTTGAAAAGCTTCCCAGGTAATCTTGAAAACATCAAGCCAAGTATGAGAATCACTGTTTAACCCTTAGAATCTGGGACTCCAAACAAGAAAAGGCTCATTAGACCAGTTTGAGAGATGAGGGATGAGTCCCATGGATACATCTCTGAAAAAGACATTGCTTTCTCTCTCGTCTTGGAGGATAGGCTCGCCATCAACACTCCTATATGGAGGATAACACTTTCTTTCCTTTATTTCTAACAGATGAGTGTTTGTAGAGCCCCAGAAACCTTGCTCTTCACTTAGGGATATGTGAGGGAAAAGGGACATTTTTCGTTAACGACACGACATCATAAATTAATGGATCCTTCATTTTACATAAGTTAATCTTAGATTTTCTGTCCCTAAGTTCTGTTTCCTCTCTGCTCACACAAGAAGTTTGGTGAGTTAGTGCTTCCAGTATAATTCCAATACAACTTACACAGAGAAAGGTTAAGATTTCACAAGAATACAGTCATTGCTGATAGAGGTTTGTGAAGATACCATTTAAAGCTTTTTAAAAGTAAAGGCTAATGTTCTTCAGCTAAGACCTGAAAAATTGCCAGTCATTATGGACCAAACTTGGTGATTTTTATTTAGAGGCAGGATTCCTGACCAGTGATAATGAAAAGGAAACAATGAAAACTATATAGCCTTGTTTACTGCTTTTTGCTTTTTTTTTTTTTTTTTTTTATCTAATTAGCCTTCCCCCCTGCTATTATTACACCAGACTGGGAAAATTGCAAAGAAAAATGATACATCATACCTGTTATTTTTAATTCAGTCTTTGTCCAAGCATAAAAACGGAAAGCATACTGATTTTCTCTCACTAAATGCAGTTAAAATCATGATGTTTTCTATTGAGGAAGTGTTGTTGGTCTGTGGAATAAATAAAACTTTCATATTAAATTGTCATTATCTTATATTTCACTGCTAGTATATAAGCATACTCCCAAAATAATGGACACAGAAAAGATTTATGAGAATATACAGCTTCATACGAAAAGAGCTTGTTTTAAACCCCAGACACTATCAGCATTACTAAGATATATTTCTATGCAAGATGCTATAGTTGTGGTAGAAATATGCTATTTCTAAAGGTAAGGTTTCCTGTTGTCCTGTAAAATATTTAGTCTAAAGGAAAATTCTACTACTGAATGAATCATTACCAATGCCATGTACACTAGCCCAAAAACAAAAAACAAAAATATGCTTTGACAGGCAAGTTTCTATGAAATCATCCAGATGGCACTACAACCACTACATATAGGGTCTTCCCACCATTTATACCTTAAAACTGTAATAAGTAAATCAATAAAGGAATTTGAACTTGTCCTTTTTATCATAAAGAGTTTTGATTACTAAAATACTAAATCTCTGGAAGTGATCAATTTTCTATCATCCAGACTAAAAACTTTCAGTGTCAGAAAGGCTACTTGATTTTGCTTTGACCTAAGAGACACATCTGCTGTAAGATCCCAAAATAGATACAGTCCTTTGAGGTGTGATTGCTGCTGTTCCTGCTGTAAGCTCTTTGCCGTTCGTCCTTCAGGAACAAACATGCTGCTGTTCTAGAAGGAGAGAATTCCACTTTCTGCCATTTTTTTTGAGAAATCTTATTACTGAAATTCAAGATAATTCCATATCTGAAACCCCTGGTATGAGATACATGTCATACTATTTTTTGGAGTTTAGTACATATACCCCATGATATGTAATACCTGAGTAGAGCCTAGGTTAGATTCCCAAAATCAATGTATTAATATTTTTGTAGTGAAACAAGAATATTCCTACTAAGTAGGCTAAAAGGCTGTGAACAGATCTATGCCAGTTTAGATACACTTTTGACATCTACCTGACTTTTGCCACCAAACACACAGACCGCTTGGGTTTTTAAGCCTTTTGGATCTCAGAGTTGCACATAAAAACTGGACTTGTGATACAGAAGTATGATGTTTGGGAGGAAAGGCCTTTAATAGAAACTTTGCATTAGATGACGAGAGATGCTTCTACTCCTCTTACGATTGTCCATTTTCGGTGACGCTTTATTGTTCCTCAAACACACAGGCATATTCCCATCTCGGAGCACCGGCTTTTCCACTGGGTGTCTTCCCATCATGCATGACATACTCCCTCTCCTTGCAGGCTTTGCTCAAACACCACCTCAGCGAGTACTTCCTTGACCACCTCTTTCTCTAGCAGTACTCCCTGCCCTCCCTGCTGATTTTCTGCACAATCAGACATACTACGTATTCCTTGTTTATTCACTTGCTCTCTTTCCTGGAAACTACAATTAGAAGGTAAATGGCACAGAGCTGGGGATCTTAGCTTTATTTATCCATTGCTGTATCACTTGCATTTAGAACTGTCTCTGCAATATGGTGGGTACTGAATATATGACCTATTAAAAGAAGAAGGGAATATTACTTGTTTCCATATACTTGGAAAAATATGCAAAATATACATTCTCTTTTTTTCTTTTTTGACTAAATGTGAGGTTTTTTTTTTTTTTTTTTTTTTTTTTTTTTTTTTTTTTTTTTTTTTTTTTTTTTTTTTTTTAGGTGCTAGAGCTGTAAGAGCAGCCAGGCGGCTGATGCTTCCCATCTGCAGAGAGTGTTTGATGCAGGGATGACTGGACAGGCAATAGGGAAGTCAAACAAGGTGATTTCCGATAGTGATAAACACTGTTACACTCTCGGAGGTCAGTAACGATACAGAGTAAGGATTTTTAGCTTGTGTGGTGGAGGAAGGCCTGTGAGCTGAGCCCTGAAAGACCGGAAGGAACCACCTGTGCAAAATTCTGGGGGAAGAGCACTCCAGACCGCAAATAGAAAGGCCTGAGGTAGAGGCATGGTTGGCGTTAGGAAAGAAAACGTCAGTATGGCTGAAGCACAATGAGCAGGAGAAAGTAGCAGAGGAGGAAGATGCCAGTAAACGGGGCCACTTCACGGGCTGGGCTGTCAGTACCTGAGTAACAAGGCGAATCACTTTCCATTTTAAAGAGATCATTTTTGCTCTTTATAAAGGATAGGGAGGGAACAAGGAGACCAATTAGACGTTTAAAACCACGGTCTTGACAAAAGTTGATATAAATGACTCTTAATATTTTGTTTGACTTGACCAAGTGGTTAGTAAAATGGGGAAAGACCAGGGTAGAAACAATGTATTTTTGTTTGATTTTGGTTTATATTTGGGGAATTTGGCAGTGGGAGGGGGGCGGTGAGAATCAAGAGTCCCACTGCCTGAGGGCTTTGACCTCCACAAAGAGGTCTGGCCAGAGAGAGAAATTTGGGAATCACCAGCAGCACAGGAAGGCAATGGAAGGTTAAGAATGGAAGAGATGCTAGGAGAGAAGCCAGGTATAGAAGAGAACGTTAGTGCACTTGATACAAAGAACACATCAGACCATGAAGACTCTTAACAACTAATTTATTTTAAAATAAACTATTAATTGTAGAAAATAGTAACAAAGCAATTTTAAATGTACAGTTTTAACCAATACAAAAAAAGCAATAAAGCAGTATCTGAAGCCTTATGTAAGTAATCTCAATATACCATCTTTGAAGTTCCTAAAATTCTGGCACTAACTCTAATGTAAACTTTTATTAGCAAAAGACCCAGAAATATCGTAGCCCTTGACCTAAAAGCTAACTGATTTGTATGATATTCATGCAGAAACTAATGAGGAAATGGGAGAAAGCTTTCTGGTGCCTTTGTTATCAAAGATAACTGCCAAAAATAAGTTTGAAACTTAAATGAGCACAAAATAAAATGCCATTTTCTAACAAATAAAACCAGAATTCTTTTTAA